AAGAGAAGTTGGAAGAGATACTAATTTTATTTCTAATTAAATTTTTTAAAAAAACTTTCTCAATTAAAAAGTATTCTAAAGTTAACTGAGAATATACTTAGTGTTTTAAATGAAGCATTCGGAGTACGTGTATTGTGTAACTAGCATTGAGGCTTCTCAGCATGAAGATGACAGCATTAAAATGGTGAAATTGTAACAATTCTTGTTTCAGTAATTTAGTAATTTTGCACTCCAGTAACTGTGCTTTTTTGGAGGAGGTTGCAAGATAATATGTTACCAACACAAGTAGTTGTAAATATCATATTCCTCTGCACATTCCCGCAGCTCAGACCATCTGCTGTCATTTAGCTCACAATATCCTGATGCACTAATTGCTTTATAGCTTCCTATTCTATTTTTTTGTTTCTTCCATCTGAAAGCTGCCTACTACTACCTCAGCAATATTGCTAAAATATACCATAGCATTTTGGAGAGGTTAACACAATACTGTGATTAAATATGCAGGGAATTGGTGGGGTTTTTTTTTGTTGTTTGTTGGTTGGTTTGCGTCAGTTTTTTTTGTTGTTTGTTGGTTGGTTTGCTTCAGTGTGTTTTTGGTTTTGCTGTTGTTTTTGGAGAGGAGTTTGGAGAGATGGAGTTGTCCCATCACTGAGGTTTATTTCAAGGTCAGGTCTAGAGACTTGGAGATCTTGGTTGATACCTGAGGTCAAGGTAGTGGCAGTTGCAATTGATTGCAATTTCAATCAATCTAAGTTTGTTGGCCTTTACAATATCTTCTTGAATTGATTTGTATTTGGAAGTCTGTGTTGAAGACATTCCACATATCATGAATACAAAATTGTGGGAAGAATGTTACTGTAATTTCTTCTCTATTAGAGTCCACAAAATAATAGAATGTTCTTTGGTTTTATTGGAAGAAAAAGAAAAAAATTGATTTCTAAGAATATATGACCTTAAATTTTAAGTCTGTGAGGTCTCTGATAAGGCTTCACTAATTTTTCAGTGCTTCACATTTTCACATGTCGTCTCAGAAAAGAGTAGGGTAACACTGAGTTATTGTTCACCAATGGGAGATGGTCAAGATGAAATGCTGATTTTCATGGAAATTACTGTGCATCTTGTGTGAATAAACATTTTCTGTGCATGTGTTTATGTGTACATGTAACATGCATTTTGTAGCTGATTTTAGTTTGCTTAATTTTTTAATTTTAATTTGAGAATCAAATGACACAGTAAATTCCTTTACAAGAGTTAACCAAGTCAAATGCAAAGGAATGAATGATGTCATATAATACAATCTGTGGATTATCCTCATGTCTCTTAGAAGATTATAGGCTATATTTCCTAGTAGACAGTCTTTCTATGACCATACAGTCCTGAATATGTGAAATTAATTTATATGTTACTGTAAGTTTGTTGCACAGTTTAATACTTTTCAACAATTTGTACCATTGGGCTATTTTGTGTATGAAATCTGAATACAGGCACTGTCAGAAAAGCTTCTAATAGTTCCATGAAGTTAAAAAACAATACAAACTGTCACAGAAGAAGAGAGTTTAAAATATTCTGTGCTACTTTCATAATGAGATGGAATATTTGTCCTTTATTATAACTTCCTTTCGATAAAATAGACTTGCCGACTAGATCATCTTTTTTCTTTTAACTTGTTTCATCTGGATATTGACAGTTGAGTCAATGCTATCTAATTTGTGTTTTTTAGAAAAAAAAAATCTTGCTTCTCATTCTCCTGTATCTTTTGATATCCTAGGTTCCTAAACCAGTAGACTACTCTTCACAACTCTGGTGAGTCGCTGTCTTGTCTTACAAGAATCTCTGAGGAAAGAAGTCATAGAAAGCAACTCTGCTTACTACGGTTTAAATTATATCAGTTTAACCTTTCTAGGCTTCAGAAGAAGGCATTGTGTAGTGGTTTAGGAAAGTGGCACCACGCTTTGCCTAAAAGCATATCTGATATAATGAAGTGCTTAATGATTCTGACATTTTGTTTACAAGTCTGTAGCTGGGCAGCCTTAGTCCCAGAGGTCTGAAATAGAACAATAAGAGATGAGTAAAATATAAAGCATGGAAGAATATCTTACATGTTAAGTGAATAAAGGAAGGAATAACATTCAATGCTTCATGTATCATGAATAATTATGCATTTCTGTTAAAAAACACCCCCGTGTCAAAACTGTAGGTACAAGGGGTACTTGGGGGTATGGCTAAGGGGTGTTTGTTGTGGTGCTAGGTTGACAATTGTACTAGATGATCTTGGAGGTCTCTTCCAAACTTGGTGATTCTGTGAGTGTATCAAAATGGCAACCACTGCTGCTCCTTGGCTTATGTAGTGTGTGAACTCCGAAATTCAGCTTGCTTCTCAAAAATACCTGGTGCTTCCAAACTTGGTGATTCTGTGAGTGTACCAAAATGGCAACCACTGCTGCTCCCGGGCTTATGTAGTGCGTGAACCCTGTACTGAAATTCAGCTTGCTCCTCAAAAATACCTGGTGATTCTGAGAGAACAGAATAAGCATCACCTGTCTTCTTTCACTGGTTTTTATGCTTCGTCATTTAGTCATGAATTCCCAATTCCTGATGATTGAAATCATTACCTAAATATCTAAATACTAGTTTTTCTTGACGTGTCTTCTTTCACTGGTTTTTATGCTTCATCATTTAGTTGTGAATTCCCATTTCCTGATGATTGAAATAATTATCTAAATATCTAAATACTAACTTTTCTTGACATGCGAAAGAGAATGTTTAATATTTAAAATTGGTATTTTGAATTAATTTCTAATATTTGCTCTATTTATAACTTTGTTAGAAGAAAGCATATCATTGGGATCAGTCTTTATCTTCTGAGAATTTGTAGTAAACAACTAATTTTTACTTAAAGCTCCTTTCTAATTGCTAATGATGTATTAGTATGATATTTTACATAGTAGTGGCCTGTGATGGTGAGTGCCTTTTGACTGCTTTGTAAAATGCTAAGATAAGCATAATTTTCCTGGAAGCTAGGTCACTTTCCCAATTAACAGTTTAACCTCTGGATTTGCAAATAAATGTCTGCTGACAGCCTCTCATGATGTCCCATCCAAACCAGCAAGGCAGAGCAAGGGCACAAATCTGCTTATGCAGTCAGTCAGTGACTTGTCTTAGGTTTCAACACTTAGCATCAGCTCTTTCATATTAAGCTGATTTCTTTTTCCCCTCTAAATGTTTAGTATACCCATTTCACTTTAGCCTTTAGAGGTTATGCATAATTATAAAACCAAATAAGTGTCTTTGTGTAAGTACCAATTTTTCCTATAGGTCTTTTTTTGACCTAATATACCTCTCGTGGCCGATTCTCCAGTCTCTTAAGATAAATCTCACTAGAACTCAGGAAGGTTCAAAAGTTCTGGACCACTGTTGCATCATTTCACTTGCAACAAATGATTCAGAAAAAGCCAATGTTTTTCATGAACTTTTCAAGACAGTTACTCATTTAGCTAATGCTCAGGCTTGAGTACTTTCCTTAGCAGACATTGTATTCAACATGCATGACATGTGCACAAGTACTTTTCTAAGTAAGAATTCCCCCCATCCCCATCCTCCCCAGTGGAATTCTTCATGCCTTATTCTTCATTCAGAGATCTGGAAGTGGTATTCAATTGAAACTGATGCATTTTTAGGTTCCCATCATATGCAGAATATTAGGACTCTGTATTTCATATTTTGTAGACCTTTGGAGCTTTGGAAAAAAACCAAAGGCAATTTTTATTTTTCTCTGTTCCAGGTTTGCCGGAGCAATGGAAAGATTGCAAGCAGAGAGTGAACTTATTAACAGAGTAAACAGCACTTACCTCGTGCGGCACAGGACCAAAGAATCGGGCGAATATGCAATTAGTATTAAGTAAGTGGAGGTGGAATAAGATCTCAAGAAAGTTTTCTCTTTAAGAAAGTCAGTGCAGGAAAACTGAAGTTGCTGACAGAAGTACCCAGCATTAATAGTAGGAAGGTAGCAATGGCTTTATAATGCTGGTGTAGCAAATGGGTCTACAAAAATGATGGTGTAGTATATCAGCTAAGAGTAAGCAGTGTTTGGACTCTGAAGTGACTAATGTTTCATTGACTTCAGTGAGAACTTCTTGAAGCCCTTTGTATCTCAGATATTTCAGTAAAATGTGGGCTTATAAATTCTGTGGATGCAAATGATTATGAAGGTCTTGTTAGCTTTCATGTTGTTTATCATATAAAAGCAAGAAATACATGGGAATTGCCAATTAGAATGAGCAGTTGAGACTTTTTCTGAGTACTGATCACTATTTTAGCTCTACTTTAATAAATATATTTGGTTGATTAGATGTCAACTTTGTTTTGGCAGATATATGCTTTCTCTTAAGAATTTATTTGTGTGGTGTTCTTGGGCCATGCCCTTAGGTAGTTATTGATTGTGTCTGATTAAAACCACATTTATATTCACAAGTTATTCATTGCCCGCAGGTACAATAATGAAGTGAAACACATCAAGATTTTAACAAGAGATGGCTTTTTCCACATTGCAGAAAACAGAAAATTTAAAAATTTAATGGTAAGCATTGATTAGGTTTTTAACAATGTGAGATTTTCTATGTAGCTGTTGCTGTTATTGAGAGCTACTTCGGTTTATGAAATTACGGAAAGCTGTGAGAGATGTGAATTGTGTTCATACCTGCTAATAGGATAATTTTTTATATTTATAGTGTTAGCTCGATAGTTTTATGTGCTTAAAACTGCATATTTATAGTTAGGACTGGACTTGTGTCCCTTGTGGTGATGTAGAAGAGAGGAGGAATTTGAATCCCATGCATCAGCCCACTATGGAGTTACACTGAATCTTGAAAGGAGAGTTTGTTGTCTTTGTAAATGTTTATGTAGTAATGATCCCTAAAAATAGCTGGTTGAAGTTTCCTTTCCAGCCCATGTACATGTGTACTGCTGAACATAATGATGCTGATGCAGCTGGGTCAGAGAGCCCAGGAAAACTCAGGAGAGGCTGGTTTTCCTGGTCCTAGTGCACCAGGCTAAGAAGAACAGCTAGTGGATGGGGCTGTCTAAACTGCTGATAGCTCAGAAATAGTTCCTTCTTATAAATAAGAGTTGGGTGTTATTCCTGCTCAGTGAGTTTTCAGTGTTATGTCAGTCACTTTGTACTGGGAAGAAGTTTCTCTTTGATTTGAAAGAATTTCTTGATGGCTCATTTTGCTCAGACAAGACTGATAAACACAAGTGTCTGAATAAACTACCTTAGCACATTTGTAAAATTTTACTGCTTAAGCATTTTCTGGTGCATTGTTAAAGGAAGCTCATTCAGTATATTATATTTAGTGCAATCAATTGGATTAAAGCTTATGCTGCATGCATACTGAACTACTCTGAAATGCTAAATAAAAATTAAGGATAATGCAAAACAAGAGTAGGGAGAGAAGCTTTCAAACCAAGTAGCCTTAGAAATCATAAGGTTCATCATGTCCATAGAAGGACGTGGAGCTCTTGGAGCAAGTCTAGAGGAGGCCACTAAGTTGCTCAGAGGACTGAAGCATCTCCCCGATGAAGACAGGCTGAGGGAGTTGGGGCTGTTCAGCCTGGAAAAGAGAAGGTTTTGTGGAGACCTCATAGCAATTTCAATATCTGAAGGGCCTACAAGGGAGCTGGAGAGGGACTCTTTGCTAGGAACTGCAGTGATAGGACAGGGGGTAATGGGTTCAAATTAAAGGAAGGGAAGTTTAGGTTTGATATTAGAAAAACATTTTCTACTGTAAGAGTGGTGAGGCACTGAACAGGGTGCCCAGGGAAGTGGTAGTTGCCCCAACCCTGGTGGTGTTCAAGGCCAGGCTGGATGAGGTCTTGAGCTGCCTGGTCTATTGGGGAGGTGTCCCTGCCCATGGCAGGGGGTTGGGACTAGATGATCTGTAAGGTCCATTCCAACCCCTAAAAGTGTCTGATTCAATGATGCTAATTTAACCACTGATACTCTGTAAAACAAGAGCATCCTACAAGTGGTGAAAGACTAAATGGTATTCTGTTGTTTGCCTGACCCTGTTTGAAATAAGTGCTCATTAGAATGGGAAGAACATAAATTTCCTGACGAAAAATGCACCAAGCTGTTTCTGAACTCTAGTGTCTTCACTTCACACTTAAAAAACAGTGAAGTGTTTAGTGTTAGGGCTGGAGACCTTGAGGTCTTACCACTGGTAGCAATAGAAGTCATAGTGTTCCTCAAATGAATGAGTGAGGTGGCTGCTTAGTCTGCAAACACTACGAATGATTCATTGGAAACTGAGAACATATGATCACTCTCAGGATCTTGACCAAGCATGTCAGGTAGAGTCACATGCTGCCAGGTATCACCTTCTGGCAGTGATGCAGTTTAATGCACTGGTGCAGGTTTCAATGTAGAGCTCAATGATCAGAGATAAAAGTTGTATTAAAAATGAGCAAAAAGAGTATGCCTTGCATCAAATAATTGAGAGGGCAAAAGAAATTTCTAGTGTCAAGGCCTCATCACTACCAGATTAGCCTTACTAACATTCAGTTAGGAAAAAATTATTTTATAACACAGTTTTTGGGCATTTTGAAGTCTGCCCTTGAAAGTTTAATAGATAAATAGTAGTGTGGTAGTGTAAATACAATTTGTATGTGCTGTGGAACAATTGCTTTGTTCTGGGTTGATGGTGCAAGAGAATAAGTAACAGTGTCTGGAAGAAGAGAAGGACAAAAGTAGTCTGAGTGGAAGTGTGAGCAGAAGAGAGACAAAACCAGCAGCCATGGAAACTGCAGTGACAGTGTTCTGTACTGCTTTGGAGGTAAAAAAAAGTGGAACACCTCTTGTACATACTTTTCATAGTACATTTCAAAAACTTTCAAGAGAGTAATTAAAATGTGCTGAGTGTGTAAAGCAGGCCAAGGTGCAGTGAAAGGTCAGTGCTGCTGCTGCTGTGAATCATGGTAATGTGACAGACTCCTGAGGAGCCCTATCCATGCTGGCAGGGACTATGTACCCTACTTCTGTGTTTGTAAGCTTGCTACTATGATTTCAGCCATGAATATTTTAGAGGCCAGTTGTTTGTCAACTGTTTGCATAGAAGAACAGTATTAAAAACTAAGCTTGTAAAAGTAACTGAATATTCGTTACCCAAAGTAATTGCATTTTGCTTCAGTTTGGAATCATTTGACTTATTTTTCCGACGAAGAAAATGTGTCCAGTTGGAATTCTTACTATCTCGTAATTGCATTTTGCTTCAGTTTGGAATAATTTGACTTATTTTTCCAACAAAGAAAATCTGTCCAGTTGGAATTCTTACTATCTTTACTAAACAACATAATTCTTACAGATTATGCTATGCAAAATGATAACAAAAGTTTAATAGTAATTAGTTTTCCATTTATCCAGAAATCCTATGTAGGATGTTGCTTGCTTACAAATCACTCTCACTATTACTTTGGTAATTTGAATGTCTAGATACTCAGTGATAATATGTGACATAAAATGTCATTGCTGACATTGTAGCTTGTATGATGTGCGTACCAGACAGCAAAGCCCCAAAAGTTCTTAGTCTCCTTGCTTCTGCTTACTTGGAGTGCCTGGCAGGGCTGTGATTATGAACTGTTAAAAGCAGGTGTAGATTTTAGTTAGCTTGGGACTCTGCCTTAGAACATGGTATGATTTCTTTCTTTGGACCTAAGCTTGGCTTGGTCAACTTTGATTTTGGAAATCTAAATTTAAGTGGAATGAAGTGTCAGTTTTACAGTAAATACATTGCTTTGTGCTTAGATTTCTGAAGAGTGAAATGCCACGTTTGAAGTATTATTAATCAATAGAGGTAGGTTTGCTTTGAATTGTCTGGTCACTTTTAATCTTGTTCTAGGCTTTGTGTATAAACTGTGTGATATTGGCATTACTAGGGCTAATTCAAATGTAAGAGACAATGACAAGAGTTGAAGCTTGCAAAGGAGTATTTGAGCTAGTGTTTTATATTTATGTATATAAATTGTACCTATATATGTAAAATATCTCTGTGTGTACATAGGAATATTTATGTTATGTATATATGCACACTTATACACACAGAGAGAAGATAAAATTGTGGTATTGGGTACAAGGGCAATGTCAAATGCTGGAGTTTTGAGTCAGTGTGCAATGTCTGACACTCCCTCACCCTGCCCCTTCCTGAAAGTTTTGCATGGTCTGTGTATCTGCACATGAAGTTGCTTGTGACTTATAAACTTATATGCAAGCCCTATGCCTTATTTCAGATATGTGTATGTAGATGTACATTTGCAGATAAGCATCGCTTAGCATTGCAAAAGAAATTTGGGCAAAGCAATTTATTGTTACATCCTTAACAAGCAACTGACCTTGCCTTCTGCCTGACTTGAGTAAAGCAAATAAATCCTCAGCCTGACTTTGGAGGAGTAGTAAATGTTAACTCTGAAAAAAAAGTTTTACTTAACGGGTTTGTTTGGTTTGTTTTTTTTGTTTTTTATAAATGGCAGTGTAAAAGCTGTCCATTTTTCAGGTACTTGATTTTTTTTGCAAAAATAAAGATGTATTGTGGGATGTTGTGTTACAAAATAAGGTTATTTGTATGATCAAACTGTCACTGGCTGCACACCAGAATGTTGAAAAGGATGTGATTTCACTTTCCAATGACATAGTCATTTTTCCTTTCTGAAAGGAACTCGTAGAATACTATAAGCACCACTCTCTCAAAGAAGGTTTTCGAAGTTTGGATACTACCCTTCAATTTCCATACAAAGAATCTGAAAATTCAGTGGGACAAAGGAGTAACAGAACAGGTGGCAACCGTGAGTATTATACATTTTTGTATCTTGCTTTCTGCCATACATGTATTAAAAGGACAAGGTACTTTGAACATCTTCATCTTGCATTTTTGACATCTAACCAATTACTATGGTAATGCTTTTAGCTAGGATTTTTTGAAGCTAAGCAGATTCAGATCTGCCAGGAGATTTATAAACATGTCTAGCAAGTTTGTCTTGCTGCCAAACTTAAAATCTCCCTGATATTCAAGAATCTATTAGGCATACTGGTGAGAAATTGCACTGCATACTGCCTAGTTTTTTCAGATATTTGCATATGTGCAGCTACAAGTGTTAATATCTGTGACAATTTTTAATCCTTAAAAAGGGATTTAAATAAATCAGTCTTGTGGCATAGCCCTATGAAATAGCATCCCAGTAATATCACATAATTTTCTCATGAAAAAATAAATATTAGATTTACTATATCATAATTATTTTTATGCCTGGTTTTAGCATTAAATTTTTATTACAGTCCTGTTACTAAGTTTCTGAAATGTAATGATTTACTGTGCAATATAAATAGCAGTTAAGAAGTTTTGAACTTTAAAAATAAACTGAGGAGGTTTACAATGCATGTGGTATCCTTTATTTAACCTATCACAATCTGAGTGGAAGTTAGCATGAGTTTTAGGACATGTACATGTTAAATGTTAATGATAAAAGCTACCACATGATTGGCCTCTGGAAAATATATCATGTTTCTTTCAAAAAGCAAGTATTAGATTTGCTGTTCTGCAGACAGTGGCTGCATCTTTGTACTGCAACAGATAATAAGAGGAAAATAAAAATTAACAGGGATTTTAACAATATGAAAACAGCTGGAAAGCCCAGAAAGTCCAGTCTAGTCTTTGTGATGATGCTGATGCTGGCTTTACTGTAGTTTTATGTATTTGTGAGCTTTTATTTCCTTGCTTGCTTCTGTTGCACAGCATTACTAGAACTTTGGAGACTTTCCTGCTCTCCTAATTTAAGTGAAGATAACTTAGAACAGGTGATTGTAAGAAACCAGTGTGTGTCAGTGCATTTCATTTATTCTGTCTCTGCCTCCCAATTCCTCCTCCTGCCATTTCTATTCTCATTCACTGTTTTCCAGGACTTCTGTCAGTTGACTCCTTTTTATGCTGTACATCCCCATTCTTGGTGAATTCATCTGTCCTGTCCTTTCTTCTCCCTTTAGCTTGTGATTTCCCTGTGCTTCTCACTTCCTCTTATCATCCCTTGTGCTTTCCTCATGCCTTGCCTCCTCATAGCATTTGGGTTATTAATAATTGAGGGGACATGTCCTGATTAACTTAATTTGCATTAGTTTGAGTTATTCTTGACTATGAGCAGAACCAGATTGTTTTCTTTCCTGGGCCCGTTAGAATGTATCTGTACTGTCCACCAGTTTATTAGTCTGCAAGAGCATTAGCTCAGTTGTTTCATGCCTTACAGGATTCAAGATTTATGGCACATCCTCATCAACTTCAGTCATCATATAGAAGCAAACATCTGTTTCATGCCTTACAGGATTCAAGATTTATGGCACATCCTCATCAACTTCTGTCATCATGTAGAAGCAAACATCATCTACAAGTTCTTTAGGCAGTAGGTGGAAGAACAAGAGAAATGAGTGTGGGATGCTCTCATTTTAGTCAAGAGCATGAGGAATTGCATCTCCACCACAGCAACTGTCAGTCCTTTAATGCTGCAAACTATGCTGTCAGGTTTTGTTTTAGGCCAAACTGATCATAAAACCCTCTCAATTTTCAAACTCCTTGTGTAAAACCTAATAGATTTCCATAATTCTGATTGGATTTGACAGTTTCCTTTTAAAGCATTAGCATGTCCCCATGAATGTGGTGGCTTATTGTTGTTTTGTTGTTGTTTTCTTTGTTTCATTTGTTTAACCAAAACATCCATGATGAACAGTCTATCTGTGGGTCACACTGCTCAGTTTTAAAGCTGTCCTGTTTGTTTTTACCAAATTGGTGATAAATTAACCTATATCTAGGCTGTGTGAAATCTGTTGTGCTGAATTTGGAAAGAAATTGGGAAACTTGAGGCTGTAGTTTAGTGGAGGAAGCAAATAAGTTGTGGGGCAGCAGTTGGACATGGAGTTTACTGCACAGCCCTCAGTGTGGAGCACCACACAGCTGATTTTTTTTTGACATCTTCCCACATAATCCCAGTGCAAGGAAAAGAGTAGTTCAAAGCAAGTCAGACAAGGTAGCTGAAGAGAGAGAGAGGCACTTTGCCATTTTATTTTATTTTTTCAGTTGTGCAACCACTCAGCACGGGGCTGAAACTGGGGAATGCAATGGGTTTTTTCAGTCTGAATCTGATTTTAAAGAGGATTTGGGTTTCAACTCAGTATTTTGGTAATTTTCATCTTTTCATTTACCCATATGGGGCAAGAAAAAGAATTGTCATTTCATTTTACTTGTAATTTCTAATATGAATAAAATAAATCACCTTGTAACTTATTACATTTTCAGGGAATAAAAATCTGCATTTGTGGAGATAGTTAATTTGGTTTCCCACTTGGATTTAGAACTTTGCTGTTCAGTCTTCTGGTCTTGCAGAAGTCACCAACACTGTTCTGGTATTCTTTGTACACTTTTAATGGTTGTAAAAGCTGCCAGACATTGACTTTTCTCAGTATAGAAATTCAAGTTAACTGGGAAGACTTTTGGGAAATGGTACATTGTTTCTTCTTATTGTTTCAGTTCTAGGCTTTTCTGTATGCAGTATGATAAAATTTTGGTTTGCCACACAGGAAAATACTAGTTCTTATATTAGATTAGAGGGGTGATCTACCATTTAATGCAATAAAGGCAAAAATGGAAGAAAATTGGACATTATTCTATGGAATAGCTTTTGGCACTTTATTCTGATCTGCTGATGCAGAGCACCATCATATTGAGAAGTTTGAGGTTTATGAAATTTAGGTTTTAATGTAGCATAAATTATGAAGCCAAGTAGTATTTGAGTGACTGTTTTTAATTGTCTGTTGACTAGGAGTAGATATATTAAGTAGTTATGTTATTCTACTGCTTAATACATTAACCGTGTAAAAGTATCTGTTAATAAAGTAAAATGAAACAAGGGTCATCCCAACCCTTAAGGAACCAAAAGAATTCAACCTTTCTGCTTAAAAGCCAACACACTTATCAGTGAAGCTGAAAAATAGGCCAGTTGTCTGTCTAAATCTTGGAGGATTTATTTGCCCACATGGGTTTACTTGTCCAGAATTTCACATGTAAAACCAAACCTTCAGCTATATCCAACAGAAAATTGAAGATAATGTATGGTTAGAAAAGGAGCAGCCACCCCTTGTATAGAACCTAACCTGTCATTATTTCTGGGTGCTATTCTGGTGGCAATTATTTGCCTCTAAGAATGGGCACACTACTTGGGTCAGGTGGCCTTTTTTGGTTTGTGTAATGCATTTCCACATCAAGCTGTCACCTGGGGTTGCTAGATGAAGTATAAAGGAGTTCCTCAGGTAACCTCATGCATTCCCAGAGAATCCATTTAATATTAGAGATGGAGAAAGGATCCCCACTATGAAGGATCATTAGGGTGCAAGAGTCCCTGGAGCATGTCTCATTTGTATTCATCTGAGATACTAACCTAGACTGCTATTGGTTAGTGTTGTGGGATTTTATTTAATTTTTTAAACAAATAACCCATAGTTTATCAATGTTAAAATACAATATCAGTCCTGTTTATTTTATTTGTGCTTGTAGTGCCATTGTCACAAATGTGTCATCCAGGTAAGATGCACAAAATTATATCATTATTTCCACCATGGATTCTTGCATAAAACAGTTGTAGCCATCATAGCTTTTCAAATGGCCATTTTGAAGCAAAATGATTTTGTTCCATATATACTCACAGGGAATGAATTCAGAGAAGCAACTGTATGTGATGAATATAATCCTGCTACATTTTTAAGGAACATTCTTCTTCAGTAATTATAGGTATTATTAGGCATAATTTAAAGGCTACATTATCATTTATCCAGTTGAGTGAGGATGAACTTTCTTTTCCAAATCAGAACTGGAAGCCAAGATCCCATCTTTATTAGCCATGCACACTACATATATTCATTGCCTCTTCAAAAGAGGGACAAAATATGAGAACATGTCAATAAACTGTAATTCCACTCAAAGAAATTCTAGTTCACTTCATCTGATTTTTGTATTTAAAAATACATTGAGCCTAGTTTTGTTGACACAATAGAGCAAGTGCACCTCTAAGCTTTGGGTTGATGTGCTGGTTCTGCTGAGGCCAAACTTAGGCTTTTTTTGATTGCTCAAAGTTTTTTTTTCTCAAGTCAGGAAAAACTGCAAAGATGAGCAATACTGTTTGGGCCTTAGAGGATGAAGTTTAGCTGTGGAATTCCTATTGATGTTAATGACTATCAGGGCAAAATACATATTTTTTTTTTCCATGCCATAATATGGAACTCTGGTTCAACTGGTACTTGACTATATTCCTAAGTGCATGTGAATAGTCTTGAGCTCAAGAGGAATTCTTATGTATGCATGAATTCTTGCTTTTTGTAAGATGTGGGGCATACAAAGAGTTAGAAAAAATTCTGCTAAATATGAAAATATTTCTGAGAGTCTGCAGTTAGAACTTGCTTCTCTGAAACCCTAAATGGGTGTCTTCTTTCTACTTTACTCTTTGAAAAATGCAATTGTTAAAAATTAAATCATGGATCCAAATTTTCTAGTGATTACAGTCAATTTCCTTCCAGACATCCTTAGTAGGGAACCTTAGTTTCCTTATTATCAATGAATGATATAGTTAAAAAACTATTATTTAAATCTTATGCCAATATTTCAATGTTCTTTTGCTTTTCTCTTTTTCTCTTTCTTTCTCTAAGCCCCTTCTTTGTTCTGTGGGTTTTCTTTTGTAACTCCTCCAGACTACAGCTTTGTTCCCCCTTCCTCCACTCCTTTCTGGTCAGGTACTGCTTTACTGCTTTTATA